AGATCGGAATGGGACGTCCCGAGGCGAGCGAACTGTCCCGAGGAGGAGCGGCCTGTGGAACAGCCGGTGAGTAGATTTGATTTATCATATTTGCGTGACAATTCGACGCTTATACAGCATCGCGATGTCCCGAATTACGTTCGAACAAATCGGCGCCGCATCATAATTCGATGCGATGCCGTGCAATTCAAATAAAGTCAATCGCGTGAAGATGGTTAGCTAGAAGCGATTTCAAATTTATTTTATATACGCGCAGTGCTGCACAGCCTATCTCGTAGCGCTGCCAACTGTTAAACGATAAATTTTTTCGATCTAACCTAACCTAACATCTCAGTGCTTTGAATGTAAACGCAAGCGTATGCCTGGATTTTATCATGCTTTCAAAAATAATATTTAATTATTTCATTAGTGTATTACATTTTATTATGTAGTATATTAATCGTATTAAATGTGCGACGTACAGTTTTACACATTTTAATGAGAAGCATATGATATAATTGGTTAGGTTAGATTAAATTAAAACAAGCTGCTGTGATTCATTTAACGTAATAGGATTAATTTGACGAATCTGCAGCTATTGAAGTTACATGATATTTGTGGACACATTTTTAAAGTAATCATGAGTGTCTTATCTCATCTTGATTATATGAAATTAAAATATAAAATATTTATGTATTCCACATTAACGTTATGCATTACAAGTACTATACAAGAAAAGTATATTACTTTTCTTATATCTCAATCATATTCAACCATTTATTTCATCGATGAAGCTTTTCATATATTGCAGACAATATGATACTGTGGAACTTTACACAGGTAATACATGGCACAAAAATAAATCAAATTAAATTATTTTCAGTAGGATCCAAAAAATCACTACATTGCCAGGATTGTATCTTATTATAACTGCGATATTATCACCTTTTAATATGTGTGCGCAGTATTACATACATAAAATATATAAATTTATTTGAAACGTACGGAAATCTTTATCTTATTTATAATATTTATGATATAAAAGAAAATTGCAACTCTAATGAAACAGAGCGGTGGAATAATTGGTTGATACTTATCCTGGTCTACAATATTTATCCTTTTTTCATCATTAGATTTTTGGTGCTTTTTTTATTATACAGATGTTATCTGTAAATATAGTACTTGTAATGTTGCTTCTGTATCACTGTAAGCACACAAAGTGATAGCATTTGCATGTAATTATGTTATACTTATATATCGTAAAAAAGAGAAAATAAAATTAAAGTTGAATACTGAATGTACTCTAAAGTAAATCTCATCCAAATAAATAAATGCATAAATGTGCGCCCCACATTCCTCATGAAAAAAATACATAATATTAATTTTTATGTATTATTATTTTTATATTTTTATTCTTTTAAATTCTCTAGATGCACTTTTCATTTCTCCTCCCTTTCTTTCCAACTACTAAATATAGATCTATCATTTTTAATATAGATCTGTCATTTTTAGTGTACATTATTGCAGTAAGTGGAATAAATAGCAAATCTTTTGGCGCATTTAAAATGTACAGGAAAGTTTTATCTGATGCGTTTTTTTTAATAGAAATATCTGAAACAAAATGCATACGTCTTTTTTAATCTTAGTCTTTCTAAATAAAAATTAGAATAATAAATTTGCAAAATAATTTGCTTTAATATATTTTTATTGCAAACATATGAAGCAAAGTGCTCAAGGTGCATCACTATGAAAACATCGATAGAATAAAAAATAGATCGCATACAAAAAAATTAAAATATTTACATTACATATTGATATTTCTGCAAATATTTCCATTATTTTGAGATTGATTTGTTTCATGATATATTGCAATAATTAAAGTACGATTTCTGATATAATCTGCCATGAGACTGCAGAGAAAGCCAGCTTTAATTCTTTATTTTGTTCAATATTTTTAATAATATAATAATTAAATTAAAGTTCTATGAAAATATGCTTGAAATACTAAATAAAAAAGATTGTTTCTTATGTACAACCTTATACCTTATAGTTTAAGTAAACAAAAAATTATTGTTAATAATATACATATATAAATTGATAATTAAATAAAACAATTAATTAATTAATCGACACAATCCACGATTTTTTTAGCTTTATGTCTAACATATATATATATATATATATATATATATATATATATATATATATATATATATATATGTCTAACACACACACATATATATATATTTTTATAAATAAAAAATGTTTCAAATATAAATTAAATAAAAAGTATAATATGCCTTTAAATACTTTATATTCACACCTATTGCAATAAATCAACCAAAGAATGCTTTTACATTCCTCCTTGTACTTTGGCATACATATCCTTTATGCCAATTATCTCGCAACACGCTTTTATCGCATGATGACAAACAAGCCCATTATCCTTCATGAATTTTCTTTACAAATATTTTTATATTCTCAAACTGTGTAAAGAAATCATGTAACACTGAAAAATACAAAGTGATATTAAAAGAGAAGAAATAAATTTTATATTATATAGTATTGACAATTATTTTCTTACCAGTGTATTCCTTATATGTAGGAATATACATTAGTCTTTGACCAGCCCTATTTTTAACCGTCTTTAGGGATGCTTTGGCTTTTGATAACGCAAATCCAGCTAATCCATTTCCAGTTACTATAAATGAACTGATTCTAGTCCTACGTGCTAAATTACCGGTCATACAAGTTATTATTTTGTTTTCCAAAATCCGGGTTTCAAAACTTTCAAATGTATCTGCAGAAAACAAAGATATTAATTATATAAGATTCTAATATTTAAAACTGAAACATCAAAAAAAAAAAAATTGAAAATAGACATCGTGTCACATGATTTTCGTATGTGTGTGAGTTAACCATTATAATCCAATAATAGCATAAATATTAACCTTTTCCAATAAGATCTGATTCAATGCTTCTGCCATCCATTGTAATACTCGTCCAACCACATTCCAATGGCGATAATTTTATTTGCATTGGTCTGGTCTAACTTTGTGGTAATTCCATAAGTTTTTGCTGTTGAATTAATTCTTTTCTTCTAAACACAGGAGTGTTTAGACCAGGAAATTGTATCGGAATTTTTCCCATGACATTAATTTGCTCCTTATTTAGGAGCTCTCTCTTTTCATTACTCTTCTTGCTCTACCTCTGCGTCTTACTGCATTACTGATACTTGTCACACCCTTTCATAATTCATCTTCAAGTCCTATAGAACAAAAACACAGTGAAATACAAATTATTTTCTACTGTAAATATAAACTATTATCAAAATGCTATATCCATAAAAGTTCTACTTACTGTTCGCAAAAAATATAGTTTCTCACATTATTTAATAAAGTGACTATTTTTAATAAATGTGAATGACTGACAAGCAATAAATTAAACAATATTAAACAATAATATACCTGAAAAAAATTTCATAATTTTATTGGAGTTAAATTGATAAATTAATTTTAAATACACATTATATGTTAATTACATATAATGATTTAGAGACAATGATATATTTCATTTGCGTTACCATTGTTTATAGATTGAACATTTTTTATCAAATTATTTACAACTCTAAATATGTAGCATACGACAAGCCATTTTTAAAATCTATAAAACATCTATAAAACAAACAACAAAGTTGTTCATAGTTTTCATTCTTTTTTGTCATAGTCTGCTTTTAGGCGATCTTAAAGTCACTAGATTAACAAAGTATCCGACTTTAAGGCCGCAGCACACACTTTTGCATAAGCGCATAACCATAAGCATAAGGAAATTGATTGGTCCCCAAGTATATGCATAAGAAAATGAACCAATCAATTTTCTTATGCTTATGGTTATGCGCTTATGCAAAAGTGTGTGCTGCGGCCTTTAGGTTATCCCTGAAAGGACGATGCGTCCTCTATAAACATAAAAATATGAACTTAAGATGCAATTTCATTGACGCTGAAAAGTAGCGTCAATGAAAAGGCCGCTTTAGGGCCTATCCAGACAAACTTGCATAGGTGCATATGCATACATAAGACCATATGGACCAATGAGCATCGAGTATTAAATCGCTATATTGACTTACATAACATAATACTCGATGCTCATTGGTCCATATGGTCTTATGTTATGCATATGCACCTATGCAAGTTTGTCTGGATAGGCCCTTACACACTGAAAAAGTTGAAACTGTTTGAACTTTATTTTATTGACGCCAAATCTAGAGAAAGTCTAGTGATTTTAATTTGCCGCTGGTTTCTAGCGTCAATGAAATTGCACCTTATGAATACAAGTGATAGCGGACAATTTTATATATCAATTAAATTTATATATCAATAAATCTAATTACGCGTAGAGATAATTTCGATTAAAGTTATTTCACAAATTTTTATTATAGGAAATGATGCGATCTCCACGTTTATTGACGGTAGAAATTTTATATATCAATTAAATTTATATATCAATAAATCTAATTACGCGAAGAGATAATTTCGATTAAAGTTATTTCACAAATTTTTATTATAGGAAATGATGCGATCTCCACGTTTATTGACGGTAGAAATTTTCAAGCAAGAAATATATTGTCAGACGATTGGCTATCAAATAGAAAAATTGTCACTTTAAGAATTCTCTATTCGATAGCCAATTGCGTGACAGTGTGTCTACCTGTGTTTTCTTACTGGAAAAAGCTCCCGATCTCTTTTTTTTTATACACAGTTTTTATTTCTGATTATTTTAAAATTTTTAGAATAATAGAAAAAGTTTGATAATGAGTTAATAAATATTATTTAAACTTTAAAATTATAATATTATCTAAAAATGTACACAGAATAACGAATAACACATAAGAAGATTCGAAAGGATATGGATAGAAAGGCAAGATTTTGTATTATGTATTATTATATAATACATAATTTATTATTTTTATTTATTATTATAAATATTATATTTTATTTCTTTTTAGTCTTCGTCGTGAGTTGAACGCGCGAATGTCATGACTCTATTGGCATCCCTGCGTGAGTTCGATCGAGAGTCATTTGCATCTCGATATTATCTCTTTTAACCTCCTTCGGAGGCCCGGTAACCAGTGAAAAAAATCAGAATAATCGCGGAAGGATTTTTCCGAATAGTCGTGAGTTGACTTTTCGTCGATCGCTCGGCCCATCGTTCACCGACTAGCCCACGATCCTTGGCACACCGCATCTCTGACCAACATGGCGGCAACATTAGGTCGGATTTGTAAATCGGGTCTTTTAAGGCCAAATTACGGCACCCTGATCGGCCAGGTAAGCGAACGACGAGCATCGGTGTCATCGGCGACGTTCGTCCGCGTCTTCTCGCGAAAATTCACGCTAAAAATCATGACGTTCGAGTGTCACGATTCTAACGTTAACCCATATTGACCCGGAGGCTCATCGAGGGCAGCTCGTGTAACTCGTGTCGGCTGCTATGTCACAGCATCATTTCTCACATTTCCGCTCCACGGAACGTTCGCGCGATGTCAGGACGCTGGTCAAGGGCGCGACGTCGCGCGACTGTAATTCCGTGACAGTTTTGATGATACTTTAATAGATGTTATGTAATAGCGAGGGATATCAAAAGTCAGGATGCTGCCATATCAAATATGTGTTGCTGATGCGCTTCAATGCATAGTCGATAATGCAGATCAATATGTATTATTATGCTCGCTATCACAATGAATGATACTTAATATATATCACGTAATTTTATCATCTAATTGGAAGAGTAAATGTACATATCATTGAGTGTCGTATAATTGTCAGTTTCGAATTAGGTGTTATTATAGACTTGTTATTTTGGAATGATTCTCTTTCCTATATATGTCTAATTTCGTTTATATTACAATAATATTTACAAAAATTGAACAAACGTAATATTTGCAAGTTTCTTTATTCAACAGATTCCTTTAGTCAACAAATATTAATGTATTTTTGACTCGATTAATAGAGAGTACATAGTTGATTGAGTATAATTTAGTTTACAGCTCAATTTAAATAATAAATATGTGTAAAAAATATATAAATGAAGGAGAGATGTATTTAAGTTTAAAATGATTCAGATAAAAAAAATTAAATTACCTTCAAATTAAATATCTGAGAAAAGAAAGATAAAAATATATAAAAGAGGTAAACCATATATGAAACGATATTACGAGTATTTTTCTCTATTTTTGTAAAATATATCCCTATTTTGTAAAATATTTAATTTTGTTAATTGAATTTTGAATTTTGTTTTTGCAGACCAGCAATTTTTCTACTGTGAAAGATTGGCCTAGGGGTCGAAAAGTGGTATGTGAATTTAATTTAACTTCATTGAAGATATCTTCACCTTGTCCCATTCCTCCTCCATAAAAAAACACATAACTTTGTGTTTTTTCAAACTGCATGTGTTAATAGTAAGAATCTTCTTATTTGTATCTTCAACACAACAATATTATTATATAATATATGCCAATGACATATAAACTATATTGGAAGAAAACAAATAGTAATACCTATAACATTTTTAATTACAGTTATTAACATGCTTAGGCATAACAGCCGGAGGCATCAGTGCCCTCATTTATGCTTTAGATAGCTCAGTAAGAGCTGCCGATCTAATAGCTCATCCTCCAACATACAAATGGGATTTTTATGGATGGTTTAATTCACTAGATCATGCTAGGTGTGATTTTTTACCATATAATTATTAGCCAAAATAGAAACATTATTAACTTATAATATTTTATAGTATGCGACGAGGATGGGAAGTCTACAAAAATGTATGCGCAGCTTGTCACAGTTTGCAATATGTGGCATACCGTCACCTTGTTGATGTTACTCACACTGAAGCAGAAGCCAAAGCTCTTGCGGAAGAAGTTATGGTACATTTTATATCAATTATAAAAAACATTTTTTATGTATGTAATTTAATAGAATATAAAATATAATAATTTTTATGATATAGGTAGAAGATGGCCCTAATGATATAGGAGAATATTATAAACGTCCAGGAAAGTTATTCGATTACGTGCCATCTCCATATCCAAATGAAGAGGCTGCTAGAGCATCGAATAATGGTGCTTATCCACCTGATTTATCGTATATACTGAATGCCAGACATGATGGAGAAGTAAGTAATTTCTTTGCGATATACATAAAAAAAATACAATTAAATCTATAATGATTTCTTTTGTGTAAAATTTTTGTTAAACATCGACTTTTAAATTCTTTTCTTTTAAATTTTCAATTTAATTGTATAGATAATTTTAGAGATATTATATATGTATTGAAATTTCATTTCTAATATTGTTACAAATAACTTCAATTTGAAAGTGTATTTTTATTAGTGTATTTTTTATATTTCAGAACTATATTTTCTCTTTATTGACTGGATACTGTGATCCACCAGCTGGTGTAAATTTGAGAGAAGGACAATATTTTAATCCATATTTCGTAGGTAGTGCCATTGGTATGGCACAAGTAAGTATAATTTTATATTTTTTTAAATGGAGAAATGTTATTAGTGAGATTTTGAGTGTTAAATAAGATTAAATAAAAAGAAAAAAAATAAGATATTCATAATTTCTATTATTCTTTTATAGGCTATTTATGACGAAGTCTTGGAATATGAAGATGGTACTCCTGCCACTGCCTCTCAAGTAGCAAAAGATATTACCACATTCCTAATGTGGACTTCCAATCATGAATTCGATGATCGAAAAAGAATGGCTATCAAGGTAAATTGAATATCATAGATTTCATTTAATTCTAATGTTTCTTATCTGAATTATTCCAATATTATTTATAGGCTATTGGAATACTGGCAATTCTCACTGTTGCTTCATATTATATCAAGAAACAGAAATGGACGACTGTAAAGAGCACAAAAATAATGTTTATTCCTAAAAAATACAATTAGCTATTGTGCTAGAAATTAACTTGGCGATGTTAGCTATTGTGCTGATATTGGAATGTAGTTTCGCAATGTATCTGGCAAGTTATGCAATTATGGCTCCTCTGAAGATTCAAACTAATTCATATAGCATTTGACATAAATTGAATTGTCAATTTATCATCACCAAATCTATTAAATTATACATTGTACATAGTTATATATCAAATGGAGTCCATCGTCTGATTTAAATAAATTGTTAAACATAAAGAACATCTATTTCTTTAATACGATGTTCATGTAATTAATGATCTTCACACAACTCACAGAGTAAAAGTTTTCGTGTATTTATGAATATTTCAATTTACAAAAGAAATTAAAGAATATATTTTTTAATTTTATAAAGTACATTAATTCTCGATTAATAATCGATTTTTGGTAAGTTTCAATTATATATATATATATATATATATAATATATATATATATATATATGGATTTTATTATTCCAAATTGTTACTTAAAAGTTCTCTAAAATTATATAAGGATACATTTTCAAAATTTATCCAAATATATATGCATGATGTATCTGCACATACAAGTCTAAATATATAAAGTTATTTGACTTTGATGAAGCATCGATTCATTCAAGTTTAAAAAATTTGGGTATATGGGTAAAAAAGGAAAGCAACACTCATTTCTAAGGAAATCATTTTATTCTCCTTAAGCTTGATTTCGTCCACATGGAGTTCTTAACTCGTTACTCTTTCAATAGGATGATTTTTAAATTACACTATTATATTACCGATAGTGTAATACTGAAATGCAAAGCGGACAAAGAGGTATGTATATTCCATGCGCATGCACCGCACGTTTGGATAATTGAAAATTTTTAAATTACACAAATGTGAAGATATTTCGAAATCTACTTTGGTGGCATTTGCTTTAGTCTAGGTATAAAGGTATCTTTTCGATTAATTGGACGATATAAATCTCGAGACTTTTTTTTATGTAATTATGCTCTTGCTGGAACATAACGTGTCATTTGTCGGGAATTATCAATAGGCTGCATATAATTTGACTCTCTTTCAGTAATATAATGCATATAATTTATAATTGTAATTGCACTAAAGATGAGATAAATCTGATTTTGTAACAATGAATACGCAGCTTGTGTATTTTACACAATGTGTTTAAGAATTAGAGACATGATTTTTTATAATTATAATAAAATTATAATTAAAATAATTGTATTCATAATACATCAATTATGAAGCTTGGATCAAACAGTAAACTATTAGTATCTATATACTAATCGTGTTAATTTTAATAGATATAATCAAATATACATACACATATGGGTAGTGTGTATATATTTCCAATACACATATTCAAATACAATACTAAATAAAAGATCTTATTTATGTTGCTTCATATGTTGATGTACTTTATTATACAACATTGTGTATCATTCACCATATGAGAATATTACAAATCAAACATTTATGTATGTTTCATTTACGGAGCGACATCTCAACGATTACAAAATGTAATTCGTTTAATGTGAGAGGCCGTTTCTAGGATATAATTTGCCAAATGCACGCAACATATGCACATTATTTTATCAAAGAACGCCAATTAAAATGGTACGCAGCATAGGAAAGTAAAATGAATGTACAGATTTATGACTTGGAATTTACAAATTCTCTATAACATTACTGAGTGAGAGACACCTCCACAAGAGATGAAATGGCACTTATGCACAAACAGAAAAAGTCTTAAAACGATTCACAATACCAGACATTATCTTTTATTTTATTAAAAAACTTTAAAGGCATAAGTTATATTCTTACTGATTATCCATTTTATTACACAGTCTGTGTCTCCAGTTTTAAAATTCAAAATATGACTTTTTCGCTTTACATTGTATTAGCTTGAAAAGCTGGAACAGAGTTCCCGTTAATCAAATCATATGTGAATTAAATTATTAATTCGTGCAAATATAAAAGTATATTTGCAAAATTAATTGGAATTTATAAAAAATGCTAAATTTTTAAAGAAAACTTTTGATAAAGAAACTGTGTCTAACATAAATATGTACAATAATAATGTAATACAAATGTGTATTTGTAAACTTCTCTATCTATACATAAACTTGGTACACTCATTCAACTTTCCAAGCTATTACCTCCTTTCCTTCACAAAGTTGTTTTTTTCGTATTTTTTTTATTTCTTTTTAAACATATATTTTTAGCGGGCACCATTTTAATATCATTTGGTACCTTCATTATAGATCTCGCCTCGTGCTATTGCAAAAAGGAAGATGTCTCTGTCTTTATGGATAGGCTAAAAAGTGCTGCCTTCCGGAGGCTGAGAAAGTTTCATATTTTCTTTCAACGTCATCAAACGACGGAGTTCTTGAAGAACTGTTTTAATTGTATATTCTCGTTGCCATTTTGCAAGAACCGGTACACTGCGATTGTCCACCTTGTATACAAATTTTATTTGTTACCCGAAATGTATATATTTTTTATCTTACTATAAATATATTAATAATCTTATATACTTACAGCTCCAGTAGCACTGTTAATGCAATTCATATTGATTCTGCTTAAAAATCTTACATTGGGTGCGTCATCTGGATATCTTTGACCGCAATCAATTTTCAGACTATACATCCTATTTTCATATGGCGTCTAAAAAAATGTGAGTACTAAATTATACACGTCTCATATAAATTCCTGATAATGTGTCAAAAACATCCATTTTAATATAATTAATTCTTATAATCATCTTTTGTTTTTATATTGTTTTAAAATTCATACTTTTTCCATATAACATAATATATATTATTTATATTAACAGCAAAATAGATATTTTTGTATCTGTATGTTATATTTGTTATAAATGTTATAATATATTATACTTGTTATAAGTTATACACATAAATTAATCCATCACAAATTTTATCACATTTGATATCAATATAAAAGAGTTTCAAAAATAATTTCGCTAACAAGTACGTATTACTTAGCTTCTATTCAGGAGAACTTATTAAAGTATATATTTGTTTGAAAATAAAAAAATGACAGAATCATGTTACAATTGCAGCTGAGAGGAAATTAACATAAACAGAAAAGTATCTTACCCTAGGTGGTCCAATTATCATGCCAGTCCAATGCGTGAGGGTCATGTCATCATCGTTCTCTAGACCCCAACTGATCGTGCCATCGCCCACACCTTTCTGACCTTGCTCCAATTCTTCCAACAGACGAAAGTTTCGGGGCACGACTGAAAAAAGATTTATCGCAGTTTACTTTATCGTGACAGTTAAAATGAGAGATGTACGCGCCTGATACAGGTTATGGCTCGAGGCGGGCATTGAACATGGTTAACCTCTCACACCGAATCCCTTTACAAGCGATAACACGCGTAAATCGAAGCTGGAGCGCGTTAACGCGAGAGAGAGAAAAGGATATTGACGAGCGATGGAAGGACCTTGCGTCTGGTCCCGATCATCTGTTACGCGAGAAATACAAGGCGATTTCGCGATACCCGATATCCGCTGTCAACTCCGCGTTTGCCCGCGTGCAAAGTGCTCGACGAACGTTTAACTCGCGAACGAAATATCCTGCTTTCTCGAAATTTTCCGTCTCTCGATAATAATGACAGCCGCATTTTTTTTCGCGCGTTCGCGTGCACGAGAGTGCGAGCGATCGCTTAACAAAATAACTCACCTACACCGGTGTTGGGCACCGCCATGATCTCTGTATTTCTGCGAAGCGCCGTATTTTTTTTCCCGAAGTGCAAGGCGGGCGAGAGAGCGCACGGCGATGTCACACGTGGGGCTGGCGCGGATTTTAACTGCGGCGTGAGCTTCTCATCACCCGGGACGTCGCGATATCCGACGCGATATCCTGCGGACCAGATTGCGCTATCACTCCGATACGAAAATACACTCTGCGAAAATTCAGCCAACCTCCGCGCTCCGCGAGAGATCGCCCTGTCGTCTCCACGGACTAGTCGCTCTCTAGATCAACGTCATATTTGCCGTATTTGCAAGCGAGTCCCGCGCCTCGCGAATAGGGATTCTTTCAATGGTTCGTTCTTTTCATTTTTACCGTCTACACTTTGTTTGTTTATTGCTTCCGAAGATTGAATATACACACACTTTATTTGATTTTGAACGCCGAAAATGTATGGGAAAGTGTAACCGAACCTCATTTTGATCGCACATTTTATACCGGATTTGTTTTCTTTTCTTCTACAAAGGCCTATTTTAATTTTAAATGCAAAAGGTATGTAGAAAAAATATGCGGTATATGTTTTAAATAAATAATTTATAGTAATTAAATAAAACATTCGTTAAGAAAATATCAATATATATTAATATATACTTTTGCGATCACATAATTAATTTTTAGCAGGTATCGAATTGGAATTATTTTTTAGAATTTTGTCACTTAGGTTTGAGTACATATTTTAATTGAAAAGAGAATTGTACTTTTGAGTTAGTATTGACGTGTAAATTGACGTTAAATTCAATTATTTTTAATTATTATAAGCTATTGTTTGTCTTTTTAAATGACGCATTTCTGGATGAAAGTTAATGCGTAGGCTGAATATATTAATCAAGATGAATACAATTTTCATATTGATTTTTATATTATGATTTTTGTATATTACTTTTATTATGGAAAAACCATGTTATTTTTCTCATATCAACAAAGAAAAACAATCTCTAAAGTAAAAATCAAGAGGTTTAAACAATCATGACAATTATTCGTATTTATGTGAAATTTTTCTTGTTATTTTTAAAGTCGAAATTCCAGGGATGTTCGTATCTCCGATTTCTGAATCGAAATCTAACTTAAAGTGCGTTCTACTTGTTCTAGTAATGCTCATGAGGATCGTCTATCTTTGTTTAACTTTCCGTGAACAACAAAGACGAAATAATCCCACGAGCGTTGCGAATGTCAAGTGGAACGGGCCTCTAGTGACGTTGCGGTACACTGCGGCGGGGAGGAAGAAAGAACGACGCCGCCCATTGGCCGAGATCGCGCGGCGGAAGGGGGACCGCCGCGCGGCGGCGGAGGGGTGACGTAAGGAGCGGTGCGCAATACCGTCGTCGGCTAGTTGCGCAGGAGCAGGCGTGAGCAGCGCGTCAGCGCAGGTAAAGATACATTTTTTCCCTTTCCCTTCGATAAGATGAACAGCGCGCGATAACTCGTTCAATTCGTGTAGTTCCGTGTGGGTGCATTTCGTCGCGCGATGCCCCGTGTGGCCGCCGGTTTTGTGATCGCGAGAGAGACAACGACGATGTGCCGCCCGATGCCGGTGGACGATCATTAAAGTCCTGTGTGTCCTGTTCGACGTTTGTCCCTGACGTGGATTACTTGAAGAGAGCGACAAGTGCGAGGACAGATACGAGAGTGGACAACGATAGACGTGAGTAACAATTATTATGTTTGTGTTTTGATCTCGTGTCCCGATGGGACAAACATCGCGAACGCGTGTCGTCGAGCGCGATTAAGGGGAGGAACGCGGCTTCGGAGTGGCTGCCATCATAATAAACAAATGTAAATACGCCATTGACCTCTGTCTCGGTCGCGCGAGCGGATTTCGTTGCCCGATCCCGTCGCGGACGCGGTCATCGACGAGACTAATTTCACTGTATAATTTTTCGGATATGAATATAATTCAACGAAGGAACACGGTGATGCTCGCCATTAGCGACGATTTGTTGTTCTCGCGCGAGTCTCCGCTTGCATGGGGGCGTTACATTTATACGCGATGTGGGACGCTCCTGACATTGATCGTCGTTACTGTCATGTCATTATCACGTTCACGAATGATCGCGAATGCAATTAACGCTGATATAAGGGCACAGCTAGTGGAATTATGGATATCTGGAAGGGATATTTGAATATCGATGGATAGTCCCTGAAGAGACTTCAATGCTTTGGCATTGTATCTCTTTGGTAGATAAGTAGTTATAGCGAGCGTTGTCGTTCAAGTAAAGAAGAAAACTTCACTGCATGCATAATAATCAACATGATGGCCGAAAGAGATAAAGTGATCATTTTTTATTGAGAAAATAAAGGAGCTTGCGTTCTTTCTTTTGTAGAATATTTTTAACTATCTTTAATTAATTTACTTATTATCTTAGCAATTCTTTTTTATTCTGTTCTAGCCATTTCGATATAAAAATACAAGCTTTCGAAAGAAAGTAATAGTAAAAAATATTTAATTAAAAAAATATAATAGTAAAAAATATTTAATAGTGTAATAGAAAAAAATATTTGTGTTAAGTTACACAATTGAATAATGTTATCGGACATTGAAATCGCTTATCAATTTATGTTGATTATTAGTCATTGATCGTTAAAACGAAGAGTTTATGACCGTTTTTAACCGCTTGTGTATCCTCATTTATCGTCTCGATCGAATGTTCGCTGTAATTATTAGTAGTGGGGAAAATGCTGGGGAAGGGCTCTTTCTAAGTTTGCTTTGTTTTCATTTAGAAGGGCGTAACCGGTTAATCTATCTATACTATCGCTCTTTAAAAAGGAGCGTTCTATCATTTACATTTGCCTGAGGTTGACATGGCTTTTTCTTGCATTATGTTAACCGTAATTTATGTGCATTCAAACTTATACCTTGATAGAGTTCACGAGACATTTAATCGCGTAAATGGAATATTGTAAGTTCGAGACGAACGTATTCGACATTTCCTTGATTAACTTTCCAATCGATACTGCAAATTTACATAATACATATACTAAATGTTAATATAAAGGAAAAAAACAGAAATTATACAATCAAAATAGAAATGAAATTATGAAAGCAATATTCCAATTAATATAATAACGAATCTATTTAATAAAATTATACTGAAAGTAATGCTTTTTAAATTTAGTCAAAAATTTATCACATTTTTTTAATTTTATTAATTTTTATATTTTTTAAATTTTCATTTATTAATTTTAATTTATTAATTAAATATTTTTTCATTATTAATTTTATCATTCTGATGCTAATATCAAGTCATTGTCCTCTTTTATGCGGTATTCTGCGAATAATTCGTCTAAATAAAGTTAAGTAAAATCGAGAGATACTATATTAAAGAACATTAAGTGTCCTATCCGAACTTTTAGAAATTAAATGTAACGAGCACTCGATCTCGAGGCCGGCTTAAATCGACGTACAGGTCTGATTTAAGTTTAACCACGGAGCCCTTACAGTCGATTGGCCGACCGCGCGCGCGGCCAACCTCGGCTTAACCTTTAAATCACGTTGGCGGCGAGGTCTCGCTTCCATCGGAAATTGCACGCGTCACTGTGCATCCTTGTGGGATAAATATCGTGCGCGCGCGCACACGAAAGAGAGAGAGAGAGAGAGAGAGAGAGAGAGAAAGAGAGGCAGAGAGATATCCGGTGAGATTGGCAACCACGAATTGGTCGCCAATCTCGTAAAAGTTGCATGAAATTTTAAAGCAATTTTCTTCACACGTTAAGCATCACACGCAAGCTCTCTCGCAAACTATAATTTTAACTTTTATTAAATAAATTTAATTTATTTAATTTTTATTAATTAAATCTAATTAACTTTATAAAAATTTAATTAAGGATTGCTTATCGAGTAGGCAATTTTTGACAAATGTATTTTTTCAAATATTATTTACTATTAATTTTTTTATTGATTTATTTTGTATCATTTTTATTTTATTAATTTTATTTTGTATTAATTCTCTCAATTCCTTGCATGTACAGAGTTAATTATATTAGGCGTATAATAATTAGATATATATATTTAAATAAATTGCTAATCTTAACAGTTTTCATTCACAATACTCGATATACTTTGCCATGCAACATATTGTTATGTGGAACATAGTCAATCAAGTTGTCACTTGCATGTTTTACATTTACAAAGAAATATTTCTTGTTTCTAATCTCCTTTAGTTCCATTATAACTGTAATTGGAAATGACAATCACTATTGTACAATTTATGTCATAATCGTACAGTGATATTTATGTACAAAGAGACTTCTCTCTCTTTCTCTCATGGTTTTGATATATTGGAGCAATCCTCTTTCGATATAAGTTTTATTTTTTTCTTCTATAAACATATGTATAATCATTTTAATATGCATAATCCGCATAGTGTAAATGTAAAACAAATTATTTAAATTATTAAATTTTATTTCATACGCATTGTTGTATTAGAGTAGGTACTTGTCAAAAATATCGTAAGTAAAATTTATTTTCCAAATTAATCAAAGACAATTAAAACATTTTGACATAAAGAATATTCTCAATATTTCTCATTACATTATCAACATAAATTATATATTTTCTTTATTCAATAGTAGATTATTAGGTTTAGAAAATGAATCATCATATGTAAATAAAATGCTTTTAAAACAAGCAGCAACGGTAAAATGTTAAAAATGTTAAAAAATGTTAAAAAATGATAAGTGATGAAATTTTTTTATTTCTTTATTCGCACAACGTTTTCTATAACCGCGTTGCAAACTTTCCACGATCGCAAATTCATCATTACGCACGGCGATCGGCACGCGCACGCATTGTGCTCATAAAGCTTTCACCATTTGCTATGCAACGCAAGTGTTATCGTTCGTATCCAATATCATTGTACCACGAGGAACATTAATCAGGAATTGTGCGATGCAGAGATAAATTCGTTTCGTGCTCGAGAGTGCGCGGCAATGAAAAGGGAAAGGATTCGACAAGCGCTGATTTTTATCATTTTTGCAATTTTTATTTGTACAATTAATCGTAGATTTCTCGAAAAATTTCTTTCTATTGGAAATAGTGCAATAAAAAAACTAAAGCTGCCAATAATGTAAATGTTAGAACTATATAATATACGATACCGATACTGATTAAATTCTACTAATATACGATACGATATCGTTTAAATTCTTCCAATAATTATATATAAAAATATTAACGTTATCTATTAATATTTATACGCGCTTATTACAGATTTTTTGAAATGGATAAGTTTTTAAAATTTATTAAATGACAGTTTTATGCAAATATATGAACATGCACGAATGTATTTAATATTTTAATTTGATTATATAATATAGTATAGTAACTATACATTTAATTTTAGCTGAAATTAAAGGTCACAATTCTTAGACCGCACGAAAACGCAACCTTTCGTATTTTTCATAGAGCGAGGCTCGAAATAAAACACATGGCACAAAACAGCTGCCTGTTGACGTATGAATAGTCTCCTTATAAACCTGACGTTTTATGGAAGCAAGTTTTTTTACGGTTGTCGACGAAAAATAAAATACTCGCGCCACGACTCTCACTTGTACTTTCGTCGCGTCATCTAACGAATATGCAAATTTACTGTTATCGTATATTAACTTTCTATTTCTGTAATATCATATTACATGCGAATATATTAAATTAGATAAATCTTATTCCGATTTTGTAATTATCCAAATTTCGACTGCAACATTGCCGTGTCTGTTTTTATCTCATACTCACATTGACATTTCATTGTACATGCGACTTGATATCATATTAGCGTTTAGGATATCTGAGATACGCTATTGTGAATATTAGAGATGTCTCTATTAGAGATAAGAGGAAGCAAAATTTTTCAAGTTTTTTTTTGTTTCTATTCTAAATCTTATTTATATATTTTTGTTTATTCTGTTTTATTTATAATTTAGAATCCATATATTTACATTAATATTACCGTGAATTTATTTTGTAAAAATATCCACATGTGTTTTTTCCCGTTGCTCTGAATCAATTCATTGTTGAGAAAAAATTTTCTATTCATAAATATTCTCATTCATACTTTTCACAGCTGTGTTTTCACAGCTTAATTAAGAAAATTGAATAATCTACTTAGAAAGTAATGTCGTAATATCCATGTATTTTTTATGGAACATTTAATTTTTTGAGCGGACCATGGGGTCTACTTTTAGAGTCCTTTGGTCTAATGCATAATTACTGTATAATTCTTAACATCAAGTTCGCATTGCGATTCATTCGGTATCTCGCCATAATCGCTCATCATGTCCTGTGCGCAATTAAAGTCAACATCAGACAAGGCATTCCCATTTCGCAACACGGGGAATTTCGCGTGCCTTTGTCGTTGTTGCGGAAACCATTATCAGAGGAAGAAAGACGTATTCTGTGCGCGCGCGTGTTCAGGTTCGAGCTTCCTCTGATAGTCTCGATGCTGACTATAACGAGATAATAGATATCCCACCGGACTGCGTTATTAGCACGCTGTCACTTCAATCCTGATAGTCCCGCTGGGTTCTATTAATACTCTGCGATTAAAACTACCAATACATCGTTATATGATTTTCAAGATGAAAGAGGTAAAATGTTAGATTTCTTATTTTTTTTTATAAATAATATTTTTCATAATAATATATCAAAATATA